CCTTCACCATACACTGAATCTGCTGGGACCTTGATTCTGGACTTCATGGCCTCCAGAGTTCTGGGCAATAAATTTCTGTTGTTTATAAATTACCCACTGTGAGGTACTATATTTTGTTATACCAGCCCAAACAGACTAAGACAAAAGAATAACACACTTGAATTATAGGTCTTTTTCAATTTTCAACTTCGACTCTTAGAATGTCACTAGATTACTGTAACTTAAAAGATAACCTAAGTGAGAATGCTGAATTTTTAGGCCATTTCTAAAAAAAAAAAAAAATTTCAATAGACTAAAATTAATTTTTTTGAGGCCAAAACAAAATGGACACTATGCTCAATTTTAATATGGAGACATTTTATTAGGGAGGAACTATGTGTCACGAAAAAGCACCAGAATTCAGACAACCTTGGTCTAGTCCAGCAGGCTGACATAGGCAAAGCACTTAATTACTTTTAGCTTTGATTCCTTGACTATGATCAGTCAAACAGTTACTACCAGCACTCCAGAAGAGCCAAAAGGAACACAAATTTCACCGAAATCATAGCTAAGCATACAGAGATTATTAAACATAATTTTTTTTTTTTTTTTTTTTTTTTTGAGACGGAGTCTCGCTCTGTCGCCCAAGCTGGAGTGCAGTGGCCGGATCTCAGCTCACTGCAAGCTCCGCCGCCCGAGTTTACGCCATTCTCCTGCCTCAGCCTCCCCAGTAGCTGGGACTACAGGCGCCCGCCACCTCGCCCGGCTAGTTTTTTGTATTTTTTAGTAGAGACGGGGTTTCACCGTGTTAGCCAGGATGGTCTTGATCTCCTGACCTCGTGATCCGCCCGTCTCGGCCTCCCAAAGTGCTGGGATTACAGGCTTGAGCCACCGCGCCCAGCCAATTTTTTTTTTTTTTGAGACGAGTCTGACACTGTCACCCAGGCTGGAGTGCAGTGGCGTGATCTTGGCTCACTGCAGCCTCCATCTCCCGGGTTCAAGCAATTCTCCTGCCTCAGCCTCCCAAGTAGCTGGGATTACAGGTGCCCGCCACCACACCCAGCTAATTTTTTGTATTGTTGGTAGAGATGGGGTCTCTTATGTTGGCCAGGCTGATCTCAAACTCCTAACCTCGTGATTCGCCCGCCTCGGCCTCCCAAAGTGCTGGGATTACAGGTGTGAGCCACCGCGCCCAGCCATTAAACAGCTACTTAAATTACTACGTAAATTTTAAATTACTACTAATACTAAATATTAGTACCTAATTAAAACCACCATACATAAAGCTCTTATTATATGCTAAATGTATGTTCATCTAATCCTATTTACAATCCTATAATGTACTATTACCCTATTTTACAAAATAGTAAACTGAGTCTTAAAGAGGTTAAGTAACTTTCCAAGGTCTCACAACCAGTTAGCGACAAAGCCAGGATCAAGCCCAGATCTTTTCAAATTCTTGAGCCAAAACTTTTTAATCCTATCCTCTGCTGCCTCCCGACAAGAGCCTCAACTCTAACCTCCAAATACAAAACAAGAATTTTGGTATCAAAAATACAACCAGGGAGCACAGCGTCACCAGCAATGGACTAGAAATCAGGAGACCTAAATTCTAATGCCAGTTCTATACTACCTACACATGGGCATAAGACAATGAGCAAGTGTGCCTCTGTGGGCTTCGTTTTTTAATCTTTGAGATCTGACTGAATATATTTCAAGAATTTGCCTTCCTAGCTGTGAAATTCTAATTCTCCTCATAATTTAAAAATTACATTAATTTAAATGTTATTTCCATAATGAACTATCCTATTCAATCAATTATCATATGTTAATATGCAAAAGCATATTAGAAAGCATGAAGATTTTCTGACCACTTACTAATTTCTCCCTCCTATGAACAAACTGCACTTGTTCTGGCACTTAACCATACCCTCTTATGCTGACTTGTAAGAGCCTATATTGCTGACCTCTCCTGGTTATTAAACTCTCCCCTTTTATTCATTTTCCAAGCATATTTGTCTCACTGTTAGACTAATAGCCATAAGGACAGAGATATTTCTTCAGTATTTGTTGAATGAATAAATAAACTCAACAGAAAACAAAGGACATACAGCAATTCTTCCATAATTACATGTTGACTATATAGAAAATATTTTTCCCTCTCTAGCTTTAAAACCCCATTTTAACAGCTCAAGAGTGGATCTTCAGAAACTTCTACATACTTAACCATCTGTTTTATTTTGGACCACTAAGATTTCCAGTTATTCCAAGTTTCTTGATGTGTAATGAAAACCATTCAAATTTCATAAAACCATTCACTGAGCCTAGCACAACCACTAGAATATAAAGCAGGGGCTCAACCAAAAAAAAAAAAAAAAAAAAGAATTGAGTCCAGCAAATAACCTTACAACAACCAATAAATCAAGTAAACCACTATGGTTATATTATATAAGGAAAACAGACTCAAACTACTTTCATGATATGGCTCAAACAAAGATGCTTGCAAAAGTATTCCTAACATAAAAGTGAAGGAAAAGAAATGTTAAAAAATGAAAAAGGCAATGGAAACCAAATAGGATTTAATGAAAAAGAAATCAGCATAGTTCCCAAATGAGAAATATCATATACTTGAAAATAAGAGCTTTATCTTCAAATACTGAAAATAATTTTGAAAAATGATCGGCCAGGCACGGTGGCTCACGCCTGTAATCCCAATACTTTGGGAGGCCGAGGTGGGCAGATCACAAGGTCAGGAGTTCAAGATCAGCCTGGCCAACACAGTGAAACCCCAACTCTTATAAAAATACAAAAAGTTAGCCAGGCGTGGTGGCAGGCACCTGTAATCCCAGCTACTAGGGAGGCTGATCATAAAGTAACACAAATGAGTCTGGGAACATTTCAGATTTAAGTAGAGTATCGGAAATGTTATTTCAAAAATCACTTTTACATAAATATAAGAAAAAGTAAAAAGACAAAATATAGATATTAAACTATACTTTTGAGAGGAGGAGGGGCAGGTGAATATAAATGGAAATGGAAAAATAAAGGGTCAGACACACTGACAGTGCTGTAACAGTCACCAAAATCAGAGAAAGATCATAAGCAGAAATGTGTGTACAACCAAGTCTCCCTTAGACCTAAATGATGTCCCTGAAGCATTTTTCAAACTTGAATAATCATTGTCCTGAGTCCATCCACTTATAAAGATTTATAATGTTACGCCACAATGAATATTTAAAACAACTCCTAGGTTTAGAATTACTACAGCAACTTTATGAATGTCACAAGAGGAAAAGTGTCATGGCAATAATAGATGTCACAAAAGGACAGTCTGGGCTAAGATGAAGACAATGTCTTGCCCTAACAAGAAAGCCAGTTAATATGAAATGAACCATGAAATGGAATGACCAAGTAGAAAATACACTGCCAAATCGTCAGATGCTGAATAAACAGTGTCAATGAATTATCTGAATTAAGAAAGGCTAAAAGGTTCTTGATGTTTTATCTTCAAAATATTTTAAAATAACACCCATTTAACAATTTATGAACGGTCTCTTTAAAAAGTCTACCATTTAAGAATAACCCGATTTTCCACAACATGGAAGCAAGTCCAATACTAATTGAAACAAAACTGCCAGGGGAAAAAAAAAGTCTTAAAATGCAACCATGTCACTGAAAGGTACAGGACAGTTGTACTGAATTTTCTTAAGTGGCATTAGGGACAATGAAACAGTGACTGAGTCTAATTCTACACTGCTACAAAGTGAGTGGAGTTGTCAATAATAATCAGGATCATTTCATTAAAATAATCCTCCTTGGAATTATCAGGCATTTAATAATCAGAGCAGAAATATTTTTCCTCTTCCAGGATTCTTAATGAAAGATAAAATCAGGAGTAAAAAGATGTAAACTCAACAAGCCAGAAGTGACACCTGTGTGACCACAAATTGAGAGTTAGTTTTATTCTGTGTGATTGCAAATTAAAGTTACTATTGCACACGGCCGGGGGGGGATTGAGAAACAACTTCAACCAACAGTTGGAAACAAATTACACGTGCTAACAGTTACACTCATTAGGAAATCCAGGATACTTTCAAAGAGAGTTATTTAGATGTTGCATTCATTTAAACGCAGGCGACGAACATCTCAGCCGCCTTCCTTTGCAGGATTCTGTGCCAAGCCCTTCCGAAGCTGGGGTTGATAAGGTCGACTCCAAGAAGAAAAGCAGCTCAAGTGGGAAATGGTATCCTCATATGGCCCAGAGAACCGGTGACGCACTAGGTGCTTGGAAAATAACCCATCGTTTACCTTGCTAGAAGCAGCTGGGTAGGGAAGAGGTCGTCCACGTGCACTATTGTTTTCCAGATATGTTTATTTATTTTTAACTTCTGCTTTGGTATCAATATCCTCAACCTCAGCCTAACGAGGAGAGGGGGGATGGCAGCGCCACTGGTGGTATTTGGGTGCAACACAAGTTTAAAAAATGAAAACACAACCTTTTTTTTTTTTTTTTAATTGCAGTATACTCGGTGCCCTCACCTTTCTCCTCCTCCACACCTCTGCCATCACCCCACGCAGCTCTCCGCCGCCGCCACCTCGGGTCCCCATGACAACCCCACCCCAGGGCGGGCCCCCCTCCGCCGCCTCCCGGCCCTGCCAGCGACACTTGCCTGGCAAGGGGCGACTCCACCTGCCCTTGGCTCTCACTCTCCCCGCTCCTGAGAGGCGGACCAGGACCCCTCCAGGCGCGCGGGCCCAGTCCCGGCTGCAGGCACGACCCTCACCAGTCGGGGACGTGTGGAAGGGCGGCCGGGCACGAGCTGAGGAGGTTCCACCTCCAAAGCCCAAAACCCAAACGAGTGACGCGGGGCCGCGGGCCAAATGGGGTACTGCGGCCCCGCGCCCCTCTCTGGGCTGCCAAGGGGAGCCGAGGGGCAGGCGCAGTGGGCGAGACGGAACTCGTCCGTTTTCACAAACAACGACGCGTCGCGGCGGCAGGAGATGCTGGGGCCGAAGCTCACCTTGAAGGGATTGTTGAGATCCGGGTCGGCAAACGGGTTACTATCGAAATCCGACATCTCTCTGGCTCTCGGCGTCACCCACCCGACCCAGGCGCTGAGAGAGAGACGAGGCGAGGCCGCCGCCCCCCTGCGCGCTCACGTCGCCGCCGCCGAGCAGATCCGGGTGCAGCTCGCGGGCCACCCAGCCGGCCGCGCCACTGAGCATGCCCGGTGCGGCAGGCTCCCGGCCGCGGCGCCGCTCGCGTTCGCCGTCCGGTTCCTCCAGGTCCGGATCGCACGCTCCGGGCTTTGGCTGCGACCGAGTAGGGAGTTGGGACGTAGGAACCGGGAACTGAGAGCGGATGAAAAGCGTCCCACACGCCACTAGCCCGCGGGATTCTCGGAGAGTATGGGACGCTTCCCCTCCGCTCTCAGCCGGAGGCCGGCTGCGTCCGGCCCTGCTCGGTCTTCTGAAGACCAATTTCAAATCAGCTCCCCGGGGCCCAGCGTGACTTAGGGAAGTGGTGGCATTTTGTGGGAAGGACGCACACTTGCCAGGTTGGGGGAGGCAGCCCGAGTCGCGGGTCGCGCACCCCGGGAGCAGTGCCGTTAGACCATCGGACGCGGACACTGGAGAGGCCACTGCACCGCCAGCCGCAGATCACCTCCCCGGGGCGGGGACGCGGCCGCTGCTACGGGTTTTTGAGCACTCGTGACCCCACCTGAGAATCCCGGCCTCCCATCTTCCGGTCTCTCTGACTCTAAGTTGCTGCTAAATCACGGAGAGCAGCCTTGGCGCTGCCGGTCCCAGCTTGATCCAAGGAGCCTGGAGAATGAGATGAGATTCAGTCCGAAGGGCCGGCCCTGGCTGCCATCCTCCGGAATCTGCAAAATGGCTACTTCTTCAGAAATAATGGGAGAGGGATGGTAAGAGGCCAGAGATCAAGGCCCTCGAGTATTAACTCTAGCATTTGGGCACCAAATAGACACTTTTGGATTTTCCCTAGTCTTTTCCAACACCAAGGACGAGATGATCAAAAGATGTGTTAAGAAATTAATTTGTACTGGCCGGGCGCGGTGGCTGACGCCTGTAATCCCAGCACTTTGGGAGGCCGAGGCGGGCGGATCACAAGGTCAGGAGTTCGAGACCAGCCTGGCCAATATGATGAAACCCCGTCTCTACTAAAAATACAAAAATTATCCGGGGGTGGTGGCGGACGCCCGTAGTCCCAGCTACTCAGGAGGCTGAGGCAGGAGAATCGCTTGAACCCGGGAGGCGGAGGTTGTAGTGAGCCGAGATCGGGCCACTGCATTCCAGCCTGGAAGACAGAGCGAGACTCCGTCTCAAAAAAAAAAATCAGTACCATTCCTTCCCCCCACCCCGCCCCACCACCAAACTTATTGAAAGAGCATCGCTTTCCTCACTTTTCCTTCTGCCCTAACAGAAAAGCACTTAGATGAAGCTACAGGAAGCCAGAATTCTTTTGACTTGGTGGGTACCGGAGGGTTGGAAGAATCTAGATTGAGTATTCCTTGGCCTTTGGGGAGCTTGCTCTATGCAAAGTCACCTAGGAAATGATACTTCCCCCACTGTGAAACACTAGCTAGAGATGACAGACAAAAAGCACATTTGTTGTAATCTCCCTTTGACGGGATCTAGGTTGGAATAGATGTCGAAGCAGCTGCTTCTAGGTAGTCAACGAAGATGTCAACTAGTAAATGACAGCAGACAAGGAGGATCACAGCAGAGTTGTAAGATTCTAGATATCAAAAAGTGCAAGCAGTCTATTGTACTCATCATCGCATCCTCAGCTGCCCAGTGCCCGGTTTTAACTTGCTGCTCAGTGTATGTGTCAGGTTTTAATCCCAATTCTGATACTACCTGTGCTATTCTTTTCACCTCTCTGAGTCTGTAAAGGATTATTTAAGAATTAACATAAACAAGATACAGAAAAGTGTCCTGCATATATACGTAGTGCCTAAGAAATATTGGTTGAATGTCAAAAGTGGCAAGGAGGCTCAGTATGTTCTTACACGCTTTGCCACTTTTCTCCCAAGCAAGGATGTCCTTGCCCAGCTCATCTGCTCCTCTCACCACTTTTGCCCTCACTCCCTCCACCTGTCCTCCAAATGACTCAAAATAATCAGCACTATTTTTTATGCATCTACTATGTTCCAAGACAATGAGGATCAACTGAGCCTGCATTGCAGAATGGAAATTTCCAACTATGTTGTGTTTACAGCTAATGATATTTGCACCTAACGCAAAGGTTTGCAGACTTTACTGTTATAGAATAATTTGGAATACCTGTTGAAGATGCAGACATCTACCTCACCATACCTCCTAAGATTCTGCTTGAAAGGATCTGAGATAGGGGCTCTGGATCTGCATTTTTTATTTTTTACATCTCTATACATTATTTTACATAAATGTATAAATGGAGTCATGACATACATATTGAATTTTTCACTTAAAAATTTTTTTATTCCTTGTATTCCCTCTTCTCTTCCCCTACATTAACAACCTAGTACATTTCTTTAAATATTCTTATAATAGTGTATATCTATACTTACATAAAATAACATGTAATTGTATAAAAACATAATACATATCCATGCAGATATGCATGCACTCTAATACTGAGCTTTGGCATTGTCTTGAAAAAGTGAGAGATGCATATTTTTCTGCAGCTGTTTTTCTCAATACTTATGGCAGAGTTTCTCAGCAAGATGTGCATTGGCAGACAAACAATCTTAAGGTTTCTTCCCCTAGTATGCCACATACGCATAAAAATATTACCACTTTTTATGTGTAGCATGCCCATAGAGTGAAAAGGGAAGCATGGCCTAATGGAAACCATACATCTAATTCATTATTCTTAACAACTGCAAAAATCAGCATATGTAAAGGATCTCAGGTGATTTTTTTTTTTTTTTTAGACCAAGTCTTACTCTGTCACCCAGGCTGGAGTGCTGTAGCACAATCTTGGCTCACTACAACCTCCACCTCCCTGGTTTAAGCAATTCTCCTGCCTCAGCCTCCCGAATAGTTGGGATTACAGGCATGCACTACCACACCCGGCTAATTTTTGTATTTTTAGTAGAGACAGGGTTTCACTATGTTGGCCAGGCTGGTCTTGAACTCCTGACCTCAAATGATCCAGGCCGCCTCTGCCTCCCAAAGTGCTGGGATTACAGGCATGAGCCACCATGCATGGCCGACCTCAGATGATTTAGATGGTAGTCACCACACTTAGGGAACCACACTTTAGATGACCACACTTTGGGAACACTAATATGAGGACATGCAGACATATGGTCCATGGGTAAGGGTCTTAATCTGTTTGTGTTGCTATAAAGGAATACGGGAGGCTGGATAATGTATGAAGAAAAGAGGTTTATTTGATTCATGGTTCTGCAGGCTATCAGCTTCAGATGAGGGCCTTATGCTGCTTCCACTCATGGCAGAAGGCAAAGGGGAGCCTTCGTGCAGAGATCACATGGCTAGAGTGCAAGATGGGGCATCAGGGGAGAGAAAGGGAGAAGATGATGCTAGGCTTTTTTCAACAACCTGTTCTCAAGGGTGATAATTCACTCTCAGGAGAATAGCACCAAGCCATTTGTGAGGAATTCACTCATATGGCCCAAACACCTCCCATCAGGCCCCAACTCCAGCACTGGGACTCATATTTCAACATGACACTTTGCAGGTCCAAAGCCATACCCAAACCATAGCAGGGAGCTTATTAATTTATTAGCCTCCATGAAATTTAGAATTATAGAATGTGAGAGCTGAGAAGGAACCTCAGCCTGTCTCGTGATTGAAGAAACGAGTTTGGACAGGTTAAGTAATTTGTCTCAGACACCAAGGAAGTGAATGGGGAAATGTGGAACAGAACTCAGGTCTCTTGACTCATGTTTTAGACATTAAATGAATAGGTTATTAAATGAATTATTCCATATGAATAATTTCATGTAGAAGGAAGAAATGCTATGTGCAAGGTAGACAGAAAGTACACAAGAAGCCTCATTTGGTGCAGGAGTTCATTTTACGGAAGGTACCTCCTAAATTTAGTAGAACAAAACCAGTCTATGCCCCCTCTCCTGCAAACCAACGGTTTGATCTTGATCATGTCAACTCACCTTTCTAACCAGAGTTTCTACTCTAGTACATCATTCAAGTATTTCTTGAGCAACTAAAACAGTGATGTTGTGGATAAAGCAGTAAACCAGATACAAGGGTAAGGCCTGCTCCAGAAAACTTCCTACAAGGCCTAGAACATGGCTAAATGATATCTCAGATCCTTTGGACAGTTCTAACATTCTATTAATCTGGGACAGTGGCTCACTCCTCCCTAAACCTATTTCTTTTTCCCTCAGAGTGTGCCTCACACCATCATCATGCTGCTTCTACTCAGTCTGACACATTTCATTGGTGAACCTATTAAGCAGGGTCTAGAGTCTGAATTCCTTGTTTTCTAAACTGCCTAGCTTATAGCTGGGGAATGCTAGGAAAATGCCAAGTTAGATGTTTACGTTTCTTGCCTCAAAAGGTTCACTGGATTCTGAGTTTGCTGATGGGTTAGAACTGAAATCCCTCATCTCTTGCAGTGGGTCTAGTCTTTAGATTCGCTGCTGTGTCAGCTGATACCCTCAATGCCCCAGCACCAGCCTATCTGGCTCCCTATTCTGCCACTGGCTACATTTTCAGGAGATAACAGAGGAGATGCAGGCATTGTGTGGTAGGCCAAATAATCCCCCCCCCTCCCCCAAAGATGTCCATGCTATAATCCCTAGAATCTGTAAATATGTTATCTTACATGGCAAAAGAGACTTTGCAGGTGTAATTAAGGTTAAGAACCTTGAGAGGAGGGGATTATCCTGGATTATTCAAGTAGGCCCAGTGTAATCACGAGTCCTTAAAAGTGGAAGAGGAAGGCAGAAGAGTTGCTGACTTTGAAGATTGAGGAAGGGGTTCATGAACTAGGGCGTGTGAGTGGCTTCTAGAAGCTGGAAAGAACCCTCAGCTGACCGCCAACAAGGAAATGGAGATTTCAGTCTTACAGACTCAAGGAACAAAATTCTGCCAATGATCAATGTACAAGAAAATAGATTTTTCCCTTGAGCCTCCAGAAAGGAACCTAGCCTTGCTGACACTTTGATTTTAGACTGGTGAAATTCATGCTGAACTTATGACCTACAGAGTTGTAAAAAAAAATAAATTTCTTAGTTGTACAGATTATTTTGTTAGAAAAAGAAAAAAAACAAATTTTTGTATTAAGATGCTAAATTGGTAGTAATTTGTTACAGCAGACAAAATCTAATACAGATGCTTCTTGATTTACAATGGAGCTATACCCTGATAATCCCCATCATAAGGTGAAAATGCATTTAATACCCCAATAAACCCATTGTAGAGTTGAAAAATCATATATCAAACCATTGCAAGTCAGGAACCACCTGTCCACCTGGCGTGTGGAAAGTAGAAGAAAGAAAAGGGACACACACTCAGTTTCCTGGTGTGCCAAGAGACTTCCAAGCAGCAGAACCAAGTGAAAAATGCAAAGGGTGTTGATGAAAAGAAAGTGAATGTCATTTGACTTGTCCTGAGTGAAGACCCTCAGTTATGCCCAACTTTTAACTATGTAAATAGCATAGAGACAGTATTCTTTTTAAAAAGGAATATACAAACCAACTGTATTTGGTTTTGGAGTCAAAGTTTACTATTAATAAAGGGAAAAAGCAGATTTTTCCACTCTTCCTCTTCACCAAATTCTGCAATACTCTCAGAATGTGTGTTACTCTGTCCTATAATTGATGTCATCATCATATATCTTCCAATTGGCCATAGTACCTTGAAGGCAGGGTTTGTATGTTTTTCAACATTGTCACTCCAGCATCTGACATGGTGTTGGCACATAATTAGTGCATGAGTGAATAAATGCCATAGCTTCCATTTGAGGCTTAACATCTTTGCTTCCATTACTAAAATACTATTTGAATGACTCTTCCCTCACTGCAAATGCTATCTTCTTCAACGCCTTTATTAAGTACTCCTTTGCCTAAAAACTTTCATGATCTCCTTGTCAGCTATAGGAGAAACACTAAATTCAGTATCGTATCACTCACGGTCCTTCCTCACATGGCCTCATTAGCCTCACATTAGCCAGGTGTGGTGGCGCCTGCCTGTAATCCTAGCTACTTGGGAGGCTGAGGCAGGAGAATCACTTGAACCTGGGAGGCAGAGGTTATGGTGAGCCGAGATCGTGCCATTGCACTCCAGCCTGGGCAACAAGAGCAAAAAAGGTATGCTTTCAGCTGTACCTTTCCCCCACTGGCTCTCTACATGCATTTATTTATGTATCTGCTTCCTCTTCTCCTTTTTTTTTTTTTTTTTCAAATTTTAGGTCTTATAGTGCAACCCACTAGTGGGTCATAAACTCAATTTAGAAGGCTATGACCAGCACATTTTAAAAGAGAACAGAAAATATCCAAGTATGTGGCACACAATAAACAGAAGCTGCACAAAACCTTTGTTTCAGTTGCAAGTGCGTGTCAACTTAAAATTTATGTATTGTGGTCATGGCTCTAAACTGAGAATTCCTCAAGGACAGATTATGTTTTATTTTATTATGATTGTTGGCTTTCATTATTCCCAGTCCTTATCACAGTGGCTGGTAAAACAGTTATAACTTTGTTTATTTGTCGAATGAACCAGACTGAACTAAGGGTATTTTGGAGTTAAAGACTGTCGGGCTATGCCAACAGCACAAAGTCAAGTACTGTGGCTTTCCTCGAGGGATCAAGGCAGTCTGCCTGTCTCCACAGGACTCCCTCAGTTCTCCCACATTATCACAGCATATGCACTTGGGGCCCAACAGCAACTCCACTGCCGCCTCCCAATCAATTCACAAACTGCTATGGAACATCTCTGGGGTAGGGTTCTGACCTTGACACTAGACGAAACCTGAAATATAGAGGCTTAGTCCTGGAACCAGGATGAGGGTGAGGCCACAGAGGCTTCTAGGGCACCAATTTTAAGGAGACATTCACTCTCAGGGTCGAGCAAGTAGCAACGCTGCATTCAGTCCTTTCTCTATCTTCTAACCAAGTTGGCGAAATCACACAAGCACAAAGAAGCACCAGGGCCTTTGCAGGAAGGCCAGCCTGGGTTCAGATTTCTGATGTGCTGCGTTCTGGGTTGCGCAACTCTTCAGGCAAATTGCTTATCCTCCCTAATCCTCACGTTCCTCTCACCTCCTTCATTATCACACTAATTCAAGCCATCAACCTCTCTCACCTGGATCACTGCCATAGTCTCTTAACTAGCCTCCCTGCCTCCACCCTCGTCCTCCTACAATTTATTCTCCACGCAGTGCCAAACTGATTTTTTTTTTTTTTGAGATTACAAAACTGATTATTTTAAAATGTTAGTGAGGCCGGGCGTGGTGGCTCACGCCTGTAATCCCAGCACTTTGGGATGCCTAGGTGGGCAGATGATCACCAGAGGTCGGGAGTTCGAGACCAGCCTGACCAACATGGAGAAACCCCATCTCTACTAAAAATACAAAATTAGCCAGGTGTGGTGGCACCTTGGGAGGCTGAGGCTGGAGAATCACTTGAACCCAGGAGGCAGAGGTTACGGTGAGCCGAGATCGTGCCGTTGCACTCCAGCCTGGGCAACAAGAGCAAAACTCCGTCCCAAAAAAAAAAAACAAAAAACAAAAAAAACAGAAAAAAGTAAATGAGAGCATGGCCCTCATCCACTCAAAGCCCTCTAATAATTTCCCAGCTGTATCAGGGTAAAATATTGGGCCTTGCAAGTCCCTATGGATTCCGGCCCCTATTGCCGCTCTAACTTTATTTGCTATTCCTCTCCTTCACATTATCTTGGTGAGGAGGCCAGGGGGCCTGAAACATTTCACATGTCCCCCAGGCATGCTCCCACCACAGAGCTTTTTTCCTTCTGTTTCCTCTGCCTGGGTGCAGTTCCTGCCTCTGACTGAGTGGCTCACACATTCTCTCATCTCCTACAAGTCTTTGCTCAACTGTTACTTTCTCAGTAAGGCCCTTCCTAACCTCCCTTTAAAAAATATTAGCCCTCTACTCTCTAGCACTTCCTCCTTCGCTGCTGTATTTTGCTCTAAAATGCCTTGCACCACTTGACATACTCTGCTCCCAATAGAATATAAGCTCCTTGAGGATAAGAATTTTTGTCAGTTTTGATCACAGAGATCTCAATGGCTAAGACATAAGAATAGGAGCTCAAAACTATTGAATGAATGAATCAATCAATCAAATAGGGATAATAATAGCCCCTCCTAGAATTATGAGACTTAGATTAGAGGATGCTCAATAAATGGTAACTATTATGATTAAGGGACAATTAAGAACTCAAGACATTAGTTAAAGAATAACTAAAAAAAGGTTAAAAAGTGCAAAAGCCGTTTAAGATGAGCAAAGGCAATAGGCACAGTAGAGGCATTCAGAGGGGAGTGGGGTGGTTGTGCCTGGAGTGGGCTGTGGAAGCTTCAGAGAAAAGGAAGGATTTTACTCGGGCCTTGAAGGCCTGATGATACTGCTATCAGCATAAAGCATGGAAAGGACAAAAGAGCACACCCGTTGGGGCAAAAAGCTTGCACACAAGCACATATGTGAGAGAGCACAAAATAGAGGCGCTTTCACCATCTCACATTCACTGTGGGAGAGACGTCAGGAGAAAAGGTAGCAAGAGAAGAGGTGCTCTCCTTTCTCCGCAGGTGCTTTCGTATATTTATCAGTTATCTTCGATGTAATGGGTTGACCACTAGCAAGCAGTAGATGCACACCACCACCCATTATCCAGCTGGCTGCCTTCCAAGCTCACTGCCTAAGCCAAGCCCAGTCCAACCAGCTGTCTACAGTAACCCACCCTTTCCCATGTGATTATATGTTGTTCAAGAGAATGAGTGGTCTGAGTCTACCCCAACTAATTACAAAGGAATCATAGTGGCATTCCTTTATGAGTCATTGTATTAAAGTATTCTATATCACAGGAACACAATAGACATAACAAAAATAGATATATTTTTTAGTCTCAGTTTACGTATACATGCACATAATCTCCTCTACCAAGAATGCCCTTCTGTCACTCAATTTCCACATGTCAAAGTCCAGTCAATGCCTCATGGCCAATTTCAAATGATACATGCTATAGAAATTCTTACTAGATATCCATAATCCAAATTTGTCTCTCCTGTCCCTATAGTATACAAAACAATTTGTTATAGAATTCATAGTAGACCCATCTCCTATGAATATAAAGTTATTACTACATGCCAGTGATTATGGTGAGCTCTCCATAAATATTTGTGAATGAATGAATGAATGCATCTGTCTCTCTATCTCCATTATATGAGCTTCTGAAGGCAGGAAGAAATTTCATTTTTTTGGCATAGCTTCTGTATTCCTCTGTTCTCACATTGCTATAAAGAACTACCTGAGACTGGATACTTTATAAAGAAAAAAGATTTAATTGGTCCATGATTGGGGAGGCCTCAGGAAACTTACAATCATGGTGAAAGGTGAAAGGGAAGCAGGTACATCCTACATGGCTGGAGCAGGAGGCAGAGCGAGAAGGGGGAGATGCTACACACTTTTAAACAACCAGGACTCATTAGAACTCACTATCAAAAGAACAGAAAGGGGGAAGTCAGCCCCCATGATCCAATTACCTCCCACCAGGGCTCCTCCAACACTAGGAATTAAAATCCAACATGAGATTTGGGCAGGGACACAAATTCAAACCATATCAGCATCCTACTCATATTAGGTGCTGAATAAATAATTGCACCTTTGCTTATAAAAGGGATTGCCACTTAAAATCTTTGGTCAGAATAAGCTTAAAGATAAGATTAAGAGCAACTATTTTATTTATTTTTTAGAGACACGGTCTCAGTCTCTTGCCCAGCCTAGAGTGCAGTGGCAAAATCACAGCTCACTGTGGCCTCAAACTCCTGGACTCAAGTAATCCTCCTGCCTCCGCCTCCCAAGTAGCTAGGACTACAGGCACCCACCACCATGCTTGGCTAACTTTTTAAAATAATTTTGTAGAGATAGGGTCTTTTTATGTTGCCCTGGCTGGTCTGGAGCTCTCAGCCTCAAGAAATGCTCCCACCTGGGCCTCTTAAAGCATGGGATTACAGGTATGAGACACTATGCCTGGCCAAGAGAGCAACCGTTGTGGTAATCAATACAAACAGAATTGTGCAGTTATGATAATAACTCCAGGACAGAAATTCTGAATTCTAAATGATGATTTCATAGAAACACCATGGAAGCATTTCAAATGGTATGGGTCAATGAAATGCAAAAACTAACTCTCTTGGCACATTCAGCTGCTATTAAAAAATACCTTAGATGGGTAGTTCATAAGCATAAACGTATTTCTCACAGTTCTGGAGAGTGCGAAGTTCAAGACCAAGTATCGGGAGAACCCACTCCTGATGGTTACGTGAGTTCTTTTCCATTTCCTAAGTGTCTCGGCTGGTTTGAGAAATAAAGGGAAAGAGCACAAGAGAGAGAAATTTAAAGCTGAGTGTCCGGGGGAGACATCACATGTCAGCAGGATCTGTGATGTTCTCCGAGCCGTAAAACCAGCAAGTTTTTATTAGCAATTTTCATAAGGGGAGGGAGTGCACAAATAGGGTATGGGTCCCAGAGATCACATACTTTACAAGGTAATAAAATATCACAAAGCAAGTGGAGGCAGGGCGAGATCACAGGACCACAGGATGGGGTGAAATTAAAATTGCTAATGCAGTTTTGGGCACTTGTCATTGATAACATCTCATCAGGAAACATGTTTTGAGAGCAGACAACCTGTCTGACCAAAATTTATTAGGCAGGAATTTTCCTCATCCTAATAAGCCTGGGAGCGAGCACTACAGGAGACCGGGGCTTATTTCATCCCTTCAGCTTCAACCATAAAAGACTGCTCGCTTCTAAGGGGGCCGTTCATAGGCCTGCCCTCAGGGGCACATTCTCTTTCTCGGGGGATGTTCCTTGCTGAGAAAAAGAATTCAGTGATATTTCTCCCATTTGCTTTTGAAAAAGGAGAAATATGGCTCTGTTCCGTCCGGCTCACTGGTGGGCAGTTCAAAGTTACCTCCCTTGTTCCCCAAACATCGCTGTTATCCTGTTCTTTTTTCAAGATCCCCAGATTTCATATTGTTCAAACACACATGCTCTATAAACAATTTGTGCAGTTGACACAATCATCACAGGGTCCTGAGGTGACATTCATCCTCCCCATCTTATGAAGAAGGTGACGGGATTAAGAGAGTAAAGTAAAGACAGGCATAGGAAATCACAAGGGTATTGACTGGGGAAGTGATAAGTGTCCATGAAATCTTCACAATTTATGTTCAGAGATTACAGTAAAGACAGGCGTAAGAAATTATAAAAGTATTAATTTGGGGAACTAATAAATGCCCATGAAATCTTCACAATTTATGTTCTTTTGCCATGGCTTCAGCCGGTCCCTCCGTTTGGGGTCCCTGACTTCCCGCAACAACCAAGGCACTAACCCATTTAGCATCTGGTGAGGGCTTGCTCTTTGCTTCATAGATGGCACTTTCTTGTTGCATCCTTATATGGTGGAAGGGTTGAACAAGCTCCCTTAGGCCTCTTTTCTAAGGCCACTAATTCCATTCATGAGAGCTCCGCCCTCATGACCTCATTGCCTCTTAAAGTCCACATCTCTTTTATTGATTGACTGACTGATTGAGACGGAGTCTCACTCTGTCACCCTGGCTGGAGTGCAGTGGCACAATCTCAGCTCACTGAAACCTCTGCCTCCTGGGTTCAAGTTATTCTCCTGTCTCAGTCTCCCAAGTAGCTGGAACTATAGGCCCATGCTGCCACACCTGGCTAATTTTTTGTATTTTAGTAGAGACAGGGTTTCACTGTGTTGCCCAGGCTGGTCGAGAACTCCTAAGCTCAGGCAATCCACCTGCCTCAGCCTCCCAAAGTTCTGGGATTACGGGCATGAGCCACGGCGCCCGGCCAAATCCACGTCTCTTAAAACTATTACACTGGAAATTGGGTTTCAGCATATCTGTTTGGAAGGGACACAAATATTCACAACATAGCACTAACTATAAAGCTCTTTTTATTTCCTAGAATGATCTCCATAAGAATTTTATGGTGAAATTATTCTCATTTTATAAGATAGACATTATTACATATATGTGTGTACATGATTATATACATATACACCTAAATATTAAGGAGGCATTTATCAGTGATCATATTTAACACACTGTAAGTTTAAGTATTACAGTCCTGTGACTACTTTGTTTTTTGTTTTTTTGTTTTTTGTTTTTTGTTTTTTGAGACGGAGTCTCGCTCTGTTGCCCAGGCTGGAGGGCAGTGGCCAGATCTCAGCTCACTGCAAGCTCCGCCTCCCGGGTTTACGCCATTCTCCTGCCTCAGTCTCCTGAGTAGCTGGGACTACAGGTGCCCGCCACCTTGCCTGGCTAGTTTTTTGTACTTGTTAGTAGAGATGGGGTTTCACTGTGTTAGCCAGGGTGATCTCGATCTCCTGACCTTGTGATCTGCCCGTCTTGGCCTCCCAAAGTGCTGGGATTACAGGCTTCAGCCACCGCGCCCGGCCTGTGACTACTTTGAATACTCAATTTTATATGTATGTGAAGACTAAGAAAGAGGACTACTTTTATTTTTATCTGGGTATATTTATTTTTATCTGGGTATATTTATTTTGTTCATGAACCTTAAATTTTATCATCATACTTGCTATCACCTAATGTCTATGCGACTTCACAAAAGTCCTCATAAAAGTAAAGACAGTTTACAATTCTTAAATTGCCTATTAGCCATAAATCTTCAAGGGACTCTTGTAAGAGAGAAAATAATCCTGGTAATCTAACCCACTTTCTGATCTCCCCAAAGAAATACCCCCAAATCAGATTATGAAGCCTTTAAGGAAAGAAATGTTACTTCCTGGTTCTCCCTTTCTGCTTTAAAGCTGAGAGTTTTCAAAAACAGAAATCAGGTTTATTTACAATGCTATTATCTTCCCTGCCTTATGTGAGGAGAGAGTAGAAACAGCTGAAATTTCTTGAACACTTGGCATAAGTCAGGCGCTGAAACGCTGGAGGTGAAAGAGATATTTTCTTGTATAACATAATGTTGGGAGGTTAAGTATCATTATCTTCATTTTACAAATATGAACAATGGGAATTTGGAAAAGTGAAGTAAATATGAGGGTTATTTTAAGAATTATTATGCAAAATAAAGGCCTCATATTTGGGGTTTTATATTGTCTTCGTATTCTATAGTAGGCTTTTATTATTCTGCCCAAGTAGAGAATTCCATGTTTTTTTTGTTTTTAGAGAAGTGACACAATTTTGTTTACTTATTAAGCACACCGCTTTAACTCATGTTTCCCCGATGTGCAACTACAAGATAACTGGGGAGAAACAGTGACAGAGATGTGGATAATTATACTCATAATCTCCAGTTCTCTCGCCTGCCTCCACTACATCACCTCCCTTCATCTGACCAGTCCCTGGGGTTTCCCTCCATCTGTGGCCTCAGGAACCTTGATCGTTCTGCCTGCCACTTGGCATGGTTTTAGGATCTGGACCTGAGAGCAGACATTGTTCCCTCCATTAACACCAGCGTGGACCTGCTCATACCTCATATTCTCCAGGGGTCTTAGCCAAGACATTAGGCTCTGCTAGAAAATTGGTCTTCCACAGGGAGGCCTTTATTATTTTAGTTTTTACAATGCTGTGATGAATCATAACTTTTCCTTTTGATGTTCCCTTTAAATTTTCAGTCCTTCTCTCATGTAATTTGGCAGAAGTTCCTTTGGAAGCTTGGTTAGAAGACAGTAAAAAGCCACCATGCTGTGTCACAGGCAAACTGTCCTTTCATCCCTCATCACAACCATTATCACTAAGCCAAGCCTGGGCACCTTGACATTCTCCTGCTTAAAAGCATCCTCCCTGATCAAGAAATGGTTTCAGAAGTGAAAGCATAGACCTGTTCCTATTTTTTGTTCTAAAAACTGCTTAGTCCTAGGACTGGGCATTAACTCCAACTTGTTAATGACTGACTGACTCATCTAGAAGCCCCGGAAGGCCTCAGGCAGATATAACTAATCCGAATAACAAGAGATATGCAAATTAGCCTCCTCTATATTACCCCGTGGCTATGGTTAATATCTCATCTTGAGCTATAGTTAAATAAATTGGAAGATCTCATTTGTCAATGATCAATTTCAAATTTCTCCCTTTCTCTGGCTCCTGCAATTGGCATATGGTCTTTCCTGGCAATTCTTACCCCGGAAATTAATTATCAGAGAACTCTGCTTATATCTTTATCATCTATAGAGAGTATTTTCCAGCCTGGGCAACATGGTGAAACCCCATCGCTATAAAAAAAAAAAAAATACAAAAATTAGCTAGGAGTGATGGCTTGTGCCTGTATTCCCAGCTACTTGTGAGGCTGAGGTGGGAGGATTGCCTGCATCCTAGAGGTGGAGGTTGCAGTGAGCTGTGTTTGCTCCACTGTATTCCAGCCTGGGTGATGAGACCCTGTCTCAAAAAAAAAAAAAAAAAAAAAAAAAAGACCCGGCGCGGTGGCTCACGCCTGTAATCCCAGCACTTTGGGAGGCCAAGGTGGGTGGATCACAAGGTCAGGAGTTGGAGACCATCCAGGCTAACACACTGAAACCCCTTCTCTACTAAAAAAATACAAAAATTAGCCAGGTATGGTGGTGGGCGCCTGTAGTCCCAGATACTCAGGAGGCTGAGGCAGGAGAATGGTGTGAACCTGGGAGGCAGTGAGCCGAGATCCGGACACTGCACTCCAGCCTGGGTGACAAAGCAAGCCTCCGTTTCGAGAAAAAAAAAAAAATTTCTTCTAGTACTAATCTTATAAGTGGGTTCTGCCCAAAAGCAGGACCTTGGGTGCAAGTGACAAGAGATTTGGGTACAAATCATTAATTGGGATGATGTTCCCAGGAAGCCAGAGTGAGAGAGAGTGGAGAATGAGACAGGTAACAGGGAAAGACAATAAAAGCTGAATTTTTTTTTTTTTTTTTTTTTTTTTTGGAGACGGAGTCTCGCTCTGTCGCCCAGGCTGGAGTGCAGTGGCCGGATCTCAGCTCACTGCAAGCTCCGCCTCCCGGGTCTACGCCATTCTCCTGCCTCAGCCTCCCGAGTAGCTGGGACTACAGGCGCCCGCCACCTCACCTGGCTAGTTTTTTGTATTTTTTAGTAGAGACGGGGTTTCACTGTGTTAGCCAGGATGGTCTCGATCTCCTGACCTCGTGATCCGCCCGTCTCGGCCTCCCAAAGTGCTGGGATTACAGGCTTGAGCCACCGCGCCCGGCCAAAAGCTGAATTATTAAGCGGGTTACAACTGCGGGGTGAGCGAGGCTCAGTCCCAGGGGGATCTGCTGAGGAACCATGTAGAGTGTTTCTTAGAATTGGCCTTTGAAACATGAGGAACCAGGGGCATTTATACCAACTCTTGTCCTCATTGGCTTGGTTCCCCCGACCCTGGGGTGTAAATTACACACACACACACACACACACACACACACACACAGCAATCAAGTAGCTTCAGGGAAAGCCCTGAAGCAGAAAAGCTGAGTAACTCGAAGTGCCCTAGCAAGAAGAAGCCATCACTATGTACCATTACCATCTACTGCAGCTGTGGCCTAAGTCAGAGCTTGCCAAAGGAATGTGATGTGGGGCACAAATGGTGTTTCTACAACACCTCTTAACACATCTCTGTCCGCCTTTAGATGATATATACCTCTGGGGCACACATCATGCCTGAATCATTTTCATATCCTTGACACCTAGCACAGCATCTGATATAAGGTAGAAGCTGAATGACTGCAGGGATGGATGGATGAAAGGATGGAATTAAAACTAAATAAATTTGGCAGGGCATGGTGGCTCACTCCTGTAATCCCAACAGTTTGGGAGGCTGAGGTGGGCGGATTACTTGAGGTCAGGAGTTCAAGACCAGTCTGGCCAACATGCTGAAACCCTGTCTCTACTGAAAAAATACAAAAATTAGCTGGGCATGGTGGCGCATGCCTGTAATCCCATCTACTCAGGAGGCTGAGATACAAGAATCGCTTGAACTCCAGAGGCGGAGGTTGCAGTGAGCCAAGATTGCACCACTGCACTCCAGCCTGGGTGACAGAGCAAGATTCCATCTAAAAAAAAATTTTTTTTTAATTTTAAAAATAAATGAAACTAAATAAATTTTTTCACATCAGATTTGCACTCACTTAACAGCATTTTTTTCCTAAACTCTTTTTATGACTTGCTCTGTTAACACAGTTTTTATCATATGTTCTGAATTTTTGCCATGATCCTATATTTGATCATAGTACATAAAAGTTTCTTAAGAGATTTCTTAAGAAAAGTAAAACTTGTGTATTCAAAGATACAACTACAAAAGAATTGTTTTCGCTCTGCCTACTTTATGACTGCCTTTTCACCATAAAAGACACTGGAAGATCAGAGATTATAAAATAAGAGCAGAAAACATTTATTTTGTTGGGCAAGGTTCTGAAGAAATTAATCACATTAAATCACTCAATGGAGATTTAACGGTGTGAAATTTTAAAAATTAATATTAACACAAAAATAATCAAGTTCAGTAATTTCCAAATAAATGGAGTGAGAGTCCCAGAACATTAGCTCAAGCTGAGAAGTTGAGAACTGAGACAAGTCTAAACACATCAAGGTAGCCTGTAGACAGCCTCACTCACAGCGCAACTTTAAGACAGCCAACGACTGTCTCAGGAGAGACAGTGAGAGACGTCAGCCAGCCTCTAGGAAGTAGCCCTGAAACCACTGGGGAACAGAAACTCACTCCTCATCCCCTCACAGGCAGTGAGAGAGAAAGAGTTCAGCCCCAGAGGAGAGGATGGAGAGCCAGACTTGGTCTGTGGACAGAGGCTGAGATCTGAGAGGGAGGACAGTTCTGAATGCAGAGTGATAATGCATCACTCAGATTGCCTTCCTGTCCAGCCCTCAGAAACTCGAGCCAAATTCCCAGGGAGAGAAAAGCCCTAATAGAGAGGAAACTAAATAAAGAGCTATCATCACTAGAAGCACATGAGGAACTGAGAAGAAATAGCTCTGCCCCATGTGGGCAAAGAAATACCTCACTTCAGAATGAGTAACTCTCAGTATTGGGAGAATGGAGACAAGGGGTTAGGCTGAGCAGCAGTAGGAGCAGCATTAAGCACTTCTAGGTGGAAGAAGAGGGTGGTCAAAAAGGATTCTACAGAGAAAAGTAGTGACATCGAGAGGAGAAAGTGGAGGGGTACAGGCCACCAGCTAGCAGGCAAAGCTGACATTAAAGTAGCACAGCGCGGTGGCTCACACCTGTAATCCCAGCACTTTGGGAGGCTGAGGTGGGTGGATTACCCGAGGTCAGGAGTTCGAGATCATTCTGGCCAACATGGTGAAACTCCATCTCTACTAAAAATACAAAAATTAGCCGAGTGTGGTGGCAGATGCCTGTAATCCCACTACTTCAGACGCTGAGGCAGGAGAATTACTTGAACCTTGAAAGCGGAGGTTGCTGTGAGCTGAAATTGTGCCATTGCACTCCAGCCTGGGTGACAAGAGTGAAACTCCATCTCAAAAATAAAAATAAATATAAATATAAAATAGCACAATAGGGTGACTATTGTTAATAATAATTTTTTATATATTTCAAAATAACTTTGTGCTGTTCCCAGCACAAAGAAATGATGAATGTTTAAGGTGATGGGTAGATGGGTACCCTAGTTACCCTGATTTGATCATTACACATTGTATGCATGTATCAAAATATCACATGTACCCCATAACTATGTACAATTATTATGTATCAATTTTTTTTAATTTAGAGACAGAATCTCACTGTGTTTCCCAGGCTGGAGTGCAGTGGCACCATCTTGGCTCACTGCAACTTCCACTTCCTGGCTTCAAGTGATTTTTGTGCCTCCACCTCCTGAATAGCTGGGATTACAGGCACGCACCACCACGCCTAATTTTTCCTATTTTCAGTAGAGACAGGGTTTCACCATGTTGTCCAGGCTGGTCTCCCACTCCTGAGCTCAGGCAATCCGCCCACCCCTCGGCCTCCCAAAGTGTGTATCAATTTTTTAAAACATGAAAAAGAAGGAAAAAAACATACTTCATACTTTCTGGGTAGCAGACTCATAGAGGGCACCCTCTAATTCTCTAACCATGTGACTGCCCACCACAAGCCACAACATACTAAGACAAGTTTCACTGACCCTAGACAACACAGATTTTTGTTTCTTTCACAAGTGCAATGTTTCTGGAAAGTTGGTTCCATTAAACATACATAGGAGACTATTAGTTAAGGTTCTCCAGAGAGATAGAACCAAAAGGAATATAAGGTAGGTAGGTAGATAGATAGATAGATAGATAGATAGATAGATAGATAGATAGATAGATAGATAGATAGATAGATGGATGGATGGATGGATGGATGGATGGATGGATGGATGGATGGATGGATGGATGAGAGGGTTTATTACAAGAATTGGCTCACACAATTATGGTGACTTAGACATCTCACAATAGTCCATCTGCAAGCTGGAGAACCAGCGAAACCAGTAACATGGCTCAGTCCAAATCAGAAGGCCTGAGAACTGAGGAACCTGAAGGAATAACTCTCAGTCCAAGGCCAAAGGCCCAAAAGCCCTGGGAAGCCAGTGGTGCAAGTCCTGGCATCCAAAGGCTGAGGAACCTGGAGTTCTGATGTCCAAGGGCAGGAGAAGGATATTTCCACTCCACAAGAGAGAAAGAGAGAGAATGAGAGAATTTGCCTTTCACCTTTTTGTTCCATCTGGACCTCTTGCACATATTAAAGGTGAATCTTCCCCACTCAGTTCACCAACTCACACGCCAATCTCTTACAAAAAAAAAATCCCTATAGAGATACCCAGAAACAATGCTTTAATGCTTTATCGGCCATCCAGGCATCCCTCAATCCAGTCAAGTTGACATCTAAAATTAACCATCACAGAGGTGTAGTATTAAATATTTCTTAGTATTTGTCAAGATAAAGAAAGGTATAAATGAAAAAGCTTATTTGACTTGATAATTAAATTTCATTTATATGTGAATGCATGTGTTTTGTCATAATAGCAGCTGACATCTGTTAAACGATGGGTTCTGGATTACCTTATCAGCTTGCATCAATTTGAGAAAAAGATTTTGGAATGACATTCTGATGTATTACCCCAACAAAAAACAAAAAACATTATTTCAGAAAAACAGAAAACTAAAGTCAAATGGTTAAATCAATAATGCAAAATTCATGCATGGACTATCACATAACTATTTAAACGATGTTTAAAAAGAATCTGTAATAATATGAAAAAACAAATAAGATAATGAACAGAAAAAGGTACAATAAATAGTGTAAAGAGATATGGCTTCATTCTCTAAATTTCCATTTTATGCTTTTTCTTTTGTATATTTTAATTCCCCTTTAATATTTTCAAGTAAAATTTTAAGTCCTGCTGTCGACTGTTATCTAAGTTGTGTAGCTCTAAGGAATGGGCCTGTATTCATAGCTAAAACAGAGTCATGTAGGAGTGTGAGTTTCCCCCATTCTCCCCTCTCTCCTGAAGTCAAGTTGGTAGCAGTTGTCAGAAAATTGAGTGGGCATCATGGCTGAGTGGGGAGTATTCGTCCACACAGGTATATGGCTTCATTTTAAAAAGCTAAAATTAAAAGATAGATGAGACAATGGGCCAGGTTTTTTGTTTGTTTGTTTGTTTTGCTTTAATTTCTACTTATTTGCTAACCATTCATTACTTTTACAGCTAAAAAATAAGTTTAGGAGAAAGAATATGGCTTAGTTTTGACTTAATTGGTATGTAAAGAAAACAAAATTTTCATTGGGCTTAGAGCTGAAAAACTTGGCTTTATGGATCTAGAATAAGCTGTTTTGACTGAAATAATTCTGTGCCTTGGCTTGTAAATCATCTTTTTTCTCCCTTGTGGTCTGAAACAGATACAAGAAAGATTGGAGACCTGTGTGCCTGGCAATTGCCTTGTTGAAAGGAAGCCCTCAGCAAAAGTTGGTTGATGGTATGCTAAACCCATTACTACTGGCTCTTTTCCCAAAATAAAACAGAACAAACAAAATTAGAGGTTTAAATCCAACCCTACCAAGGAGAGTCTCTAAATATCATCCTTGTTCCTTACCAGTAGTATTTGCTCTTGAATGTCATAGGACTAAACATTGGTAGTGGCATTAATTATATTAAATCTGTGATTAATTTATTTTTAATCAACAGATACAAAACGCTTCTAGAAGGTCATCTCTGTAAAAGTTTTCACATTTGGAACTTTCTCAGACAGTGTCCTTTTTGTCTCTTCCTTTGGCTAATTTTCATTTGCATTATTTCTCTGTGATAAACTGTAACCATAAGTATAACAGCTTTCAGTGATTTCTACGAATCCTTCCAGCAAATTATCAAACTTGAAGGTGGTTGTGGAACCTCCCGAACTTTCAGTTAGTGTTGGAAGTGGGAGCACTCCTGGGGACTGTGCCCTCAAACTTTGTAGTTTGACTAACTCCAGGCACATAGATAATTTGAATGTGGCCAAATTTGGCCCTCAGGCCATAGTTTGCCAAGCCTGTTCTAGCTCATTAAAATAGCCATACGACATCAATGTACATATAATTTGTTGTGACTCATGTAAAATTCATAATTGTGTGCAAACAAGCTGTAATATTCTACCACTCTGCAATTGTCAAAATGTGCAGATACTGTGTGTTTATATATATATTTGTGTGTGTGTATATATATATATGTGTGTATATATATATGGAGTAGTGGAACTGCAACATACAAAAATGTCACAAAAGAAAAAGCTGATGCTGAACAATATATATTATATTCTAATATTATATAAGTTATATATATTATATTTTAATATCATATATAATATATATTTTATGTATGTGTATTTGTAATATAAATAGTGTGTGCACTCCCTTCTTTGTGTCCATCTCTAATTATGTTTCTAAAACATGCCTTTGAAGAACTACAGTACTTTGTAAATCAAATTGTTTCCCACAGTGCTGTTGTAGTAAGCAAATAATCCCCTCAGCATGTGTTTAGGAGTATTAAGCAACATAATAGGAATCCTGACATGCCAAAAAAATCACAGAAAGCACTGGGTTATTAACAATCTTGAGTGTTCTCAAATTTTCCTAGGAAACAGGAGGACTTTGTACCTTTGATCCATAAACGGAGACTCCAAACATCTGCTTTTGACATTTAAACATTAGTCTATATGTCTTGATGGCCAGCAAGTCCCTCCAATCTTGTCAAATACATTATAGGAAAAAATCGTATGGGGAGCAGGCTGCATTCATTTTAAATGTAGTTTTCTTTTGATGTAGCAAAAGTCAATGTTCTGTTCTTGTCATATTCTTTCTCAATATTAGACATTTTCAAAAAGGTAATAATCTTATAATTTTATTATAGTTATCAACCATGGGTAATTTATTCCCTCAAATGAATTTTCTATGGCATTAATAAGTCTAAAGTACCGCAAGCTACTACCATTTAATTGCCAAGTTATTCTAGCCGGCATGAGTGACTCTTTCTATGTGACTGACTTACTCTAACTAAAATATCTACTGGACAGATAATCAATCCCTTCTATAATATTAGAATATCTGCCCAGCCCTTAACCAATTTCCTCTCCTTGGAATATTATGGAGAAGCTGTTTCCCACTGACAATAACATCCACTTGCACGTTAGCTATTGCCTGGCGTGTGAAAAACACTCTCCACTCAGCCGTGATGCCCACTCAGTCTTCTGACAACTGCTACCAACTTGACTTCAGAGGAGAGGGAAGAATGGGGGAAACTCACACTCCTACATGACTCTGTTTTAACTATGAATACAGGCCCATTCCTCAGAGCTACACAATTTAGATAACAACGGAGAGCAGGACTTAAAATTTTACTTGAAAATGTTAAAAGGGAATTAAAACATACAAAAGAAAAAATATAAAATGGAAATTTAGATATTTGTCCTAGAGTCGGTCAGCCATTGTCTTGCACTGAGATCCCCTGCAGCCATTTCTCTCTTTTGCCTTTAGTATGTCACAAGTGACCAAGGCCATCTTATCTTTCATGGTCACGAATCATTATCATGTCCTTCTTACCCTGTCAGGCCCCACTGCCACCAACCAAGAGAAAGGGTGAAGTCCTCTCTTCTCCTAGTCCAAGGCCTTCTTTATTTCTTTCTCCAAAAAATTGACAAAGGGTCTACCATTTTCTGAGAGATTTCCCCATCTTCGTTCGTAGGGCTCCTTTGTTCCCCATAACCTATACAAAGTAAACCTGGTAGTCGATAGTACTTTTCCCAAACTTGGGCTCATTCAATTATAAATGGCATCATATGTGAGACATTAACCATCCAGCCTGTGGTAAGCGGCCATGGTCCAGTGCAGTTTCATTTCAGTCTTTCTTTCAGTATGCAGTGAGCAGGAAATTAAACCTATATGTTCCCTCTGGCATGGTCCTAGTCTCATGATTTCCTGTGAGGAAATAACTGAATAAAAAGGCACTCGTCTCTCAGAAACAATTATTTTTGAATTAGTAGAAAGATTTTTTTCCCTTTAACTCTGTAGTGCCCTCATTCTAGAAAGACATAATGCAATTTATTTGTTAAACAAAATTTAATAACTCAATCAGAAACATCTGCTTTCCATTTGATGTGTCCATAAGAAAAATGGCAAGGTACTTGTTTAAAACAATATGATTTTAAAAGTTCACCAAAGTACCCAGACTCAGGAAAAAGACAAGGGTGATTCCAGATTCAAGCACAAATTTAAACTTCTATGGATGCAGAAGCTGTTTACCGCCTTCCCACCCGGTTTTCAAGTTTCAGCAGTTTCCCTGAGCCACCAGTTACACTGGTGTGTGATTATGTGCCTGCTGAGCCTTGGTTGGAGGAATTCTCCAGTAGTTCAGTTGTCCAGAAGATCAGTTAGTGATACAGAGAATCCAAAGTCCAGAAACCGTAGTTATAGTGAGGAACATGTTTATGTTTTCTATTTCAAATAGTACGTACTTCTTTCCTAACAATATTCTGTTTAATTTATTCTGCTTAAAAATGCTCACGACACACTTTCACCATAGAGATGGCTGAAAAAATAGAATCACATTGTTATTGTATGGATTATTCAAACAACATATGTGTAAATGAAGCAGAAATATTATTAAGTGGAAACTATTGAAAATTAAGCACTATTATATTTGGAGAGCAATTATAGTAGTGTAGACTGTGTAAGGCCCTCAATGTGGTCCAATTTGTCTGTGAAAGAGCTTCTTGGACCATAATACGTCTATTTTTTTAGTCATTATAAAGAAACATTGTCAAGACCAAAACCGTAAAATGTATTTTTTTAAAAAGCACTTTTGGGGGTTTATAGATTAGTTTTCTCTTTTCTAATTCATTTAGGTCTACACCTTTTATTACTTTTATTTTTTCTTTTTTGAGACAGGGTCTCACTCCTTTGCCCAGGCTGGAGTGCAGTGGTATGATCACAGCTCACTGCAGCCTCAACTTCCCAGATTCAGGTGATTCTCCCACCTCAGCCTGCCAGGTAGTTGGGACTACAGGTGTGTGCCACCATACCTGGCTAATTTTCTGTGTCTTTTGTAGAGATGCGGTTTTGCCATACTGCCCAGGCTGGGCTTGAACTCCTGGGCAGTGCTGGGATTACAGGCATAAGCCACACTGTCTGGCCTAATTTTTTTAATTTTGCAATTTTTTTCACATTCTTAAGATGATGCTTAGATTTTAATTTTTTTAATAATAAAAGCATTTGCATCTGTAAATTGGCCTCTAAATATAAGAACACTTTCATGTATTTTATTATCATTAATGTTCAAATGATCTGTAATTTCCAGTTTAATTTTCTTTTTTTGACCCAATAGTTATTTAAAAGAGTGTTTTTTTTTTATTTTAAAGTGGTAAATTTAGTGCATTTTGTGATCTGAAAATGTAGCTGATATAACTTATACCTTCTACAATATTTTGTTTTTGGCTTACAATACAATTTTTTTGGAAACCTTCACATCAATGTGAAAAAGATAATTATTCACTGCTTACATGGTACATATATGATTTTTAAATAAAGAAAAGTGTATTACTCATGCTCAATGGGCTCAACACAGATTTGAATTGGTAGAGGAAAGAAGAATTGATCAGTGAATTGAAGGAATGAATCAATTGAGATTACCCAGTCTAAGGAATGAAAAAAAGAGAGAGAAAAGGAAGTAAAGCAAACAGATCCTAAGATACCTATGGACACCATCAAACATACCAACTTATACTTAATGAGAGCCTTTATAAGATAGAAAAAAAAGAAATAAAAAAATAAAAATCTAACCAAATTTGTTGAAAAACATTGATCTACACACCCAAGAAGTACAATAAACTCCAAGTAGAATAAGCTCAAAGAGATCAAAATCTAGACACATCATAGGCAAATTGTCCAAAGACAAAGAGAGAATCCAGAAAGCAGCAAGGGAAAAACTGACTCATCAAGTCCAAGGAATACTCAGTGTAATGTACCGTTTACTTCTCATCAGAAACAATGGAGGCCTGAAGGCAGTGGGATGACATATTCAAGATGCTGAAAGACAGACTGTCAAACAAGAATTCCAGTGGCTCATGCCTGTAATCCCAGCACTTTAGGAGGCCAAGGATGGTGGATCGCTTGAAGTCAGGAGTTCGAGGCCAGCCTGGCCAACATCGTGAAACCCCATCTCTACTAAAAATACAAAAATTAGCTGGGCATGGTGGCAGGCACCTGTAATCCCAGCTACTTGAGAGGCTGAGGCACAAGAATCACTTAAACCTGGGAGGTAGAGGTTGCAGTGAGCTGAGATCGCACCACTGCACTCCAGCACCACTGCACTCCAACCTGCATGATAGAGCAAGACTCCATCTCAAAAACAAACAAACAAACAAAAAACAAACAACAACAAAAAGGAAAGACTGTTGACCAAGAATTCTATGTCCAGCAAAACTACTCTTTAAAAATGAGGGCCAGG